TTTTTTTTTTTGAATTTAACTTCTAAACCGCAAAGAAGTACTCGCTATTTTGAGCATTGAACATCAAAATGAATATGCAATTATGTGTCTCACTTCTAGCAAAAAAGTCTCCACACATCTTCAGAAGCAAGCACCACATTATGTCACAAATAAATGTCGATCAAGAACGCATAATTTATGGGCGCTAGGAAAGCAAGGACTCACATTATAACTAACCCTACAAGGTTGATAAAGCAATGCGCTCTCAATGCATTCTCTAGATTTGGGGTGCGTCTTAACTGCCAAATGGAGAACAATTTGAGCCAGATACGTATTTATGGAATGATAAATATCACTTTTAGGAGCTAACATGCACATCTTAACTGCTATAGCACTCGCAGTGGGTGTACTTACGGTGAAAAGATATTTTGCAGCAGGTGGAATAACCACAGAACCGAATCCAAGGTCCTGAACAGGATCTTCAAGTCCTTGGCGGCGTTCTGAATACAGCATCAAAACTAACGTTATGTGCAAAAGCTAAGCTGCTTACCTCTGATCAGTTTCCGAAGGTAAGGGTCAAGATTACTTGTGCATGGCACGAACTTCTTGACATGCCCTACCGTAAGCTGCTCGGAACTTGGGATGGCTGTTGAATCAAGGAAAGCCTAAGACTCATCTCATATGGTAGAGTGAAATACGGCATGAATACTATAACACTAGCCTCAAAATTGTCTGGATTTCTGTCCAGCTCGATAAGTGAGTCCTTTTTTGGGATATGATCCTTGAGCTGATGATACACCTAGAAAAAAGTTTTTCAGATCATCAAATTGTCAAGAGTTCCCCAACCTACTTCTGCAAGAGTTAAACTATTATTGCTGATGTCCACAGCCCTGTCAATGAGCCAACACATTCGACTTGGCCATTGTTCAAGCAGGGAAACCCAATGACCAAGCGAAAGCCAAGAAAAGTCTATCTCAAATGCTCGCATAAGCCTGCCTGAAAGAGACTGCTAGGCAGAACTATT